CAATTAATTGGCATTTAAAAAAGATTTATTTTATATTATCAAACATGAAGTAATTGCTCAAATACAACATAAAACAACTTCTACTATAAGATGCTTACAGTAAAATTGTAGGAGCATTTGAAGTAATAGTTATAACTTTACCTTTTGCTATGCAGGTGTTATTTCTTTCTTGAAAATTCTGGTCACACACACATTTATATGATCCTTCCACATTTATACATTGGTGGGAACATGTATCAAACACTAAACATTCATTAAGGTCTACAAAAGAAAAACTCAGAATCATCATGCCCCTAATTAGCACTTTTAATTCTTAAATATTTCAAAGCCGATAATTTTTTTCCCTTCAACTTCCCATTCCTATTTCCTTCACTGACTTTTAGAAACTCCTAAGTTTGTGACTTGCTGTGTAGTATTTTTAGGCCATAATCATTTTTTTTCACACTTATAATAATTGATCAATTATTTGCACATTGCTTATTTATACATTTAACACATTGAACAATCTATTTCAAACTTCCCTAGTATTTTCTTTCACTCAAGCAAACACTTCTTGATGTGTCCTTTAGTGCTGTGTCCAGTACCTACCTCCATACCATCACATGTCATTTGCTTTTCTTTTGTCCTATAACATCCTTGCTCACCTAGACAAAATTTCCTACTCATATCTAAGATTCACCTGAAGTGAAGCCTTCATTGCTGTTTACTGACAGTAGTGGTTCTCTGTCCCATAGTTTTCACTCTATGCTGAATTGGTGTCTCTCTTATAGTACTGTTAATGCCACATTTCAGATACGGTATATATTAATACCCCTACTTGTCCATCAGCCACTAGAAGGCATTCATTATGTATGATTTACTCATTCTTTTACTGCCAGCATTTGTACAATTCCTGGCAGAGAATGAAAATATGAATACACATCTAATATACTTCCCGGTTTCATAGAAATGAAGTGATTATGAAACGAAGACAATGAGTTACAAATATGCCTGTATATAAATGTATGTAAACCATAAGTAATCAATAAATAAATCACAAGCAACAGACTATAGCTTAGCACATGTTCTAATTTTTATGGTTTATGCAGGACCAGAATCGAAGTCAAGTGATTTTGAAGAACATCTACTTTCTCTCTCTTTTTTCCATCTACTTTTGCTTTCAATCAGCACAAGTCTTTATGCTCTTGTAGTTGCTCTAATTATGCAATAAACCCCGTTTAAGAATGCCTTTTCTTAAACTTGAAAACTTTAGGACAGGAGGTGTAAAAATAATTATCTTTTGTTTATTACTTGAGAGCTTCAATACTAGAGATAAGGATTTTCAAATTGATACTTGTAAATAACACAGAAAGGCTTAAACTTAGGGTTCTGATTTTGTTGTCTCTGATGTGAGCGTTGTCCAAAAGGAACCAAAGCTCTCCCATGGCAATTTATGCCTGTATTTTTATAATCAGTGAATAAAGCACAGCTCTCTATTTTCTTACCTAGAAGAATGTATTTGGGGTATTACTCACTTCTAGGTATCAGTAAAAATGTCATTTCTGTCTGAGAATTCCATTTCTACTCTCAGAATAAGGATGATGGAACCCCAGTTGTCAGTTGTCTATTATGTAAAGTCTCTCCCCTTTTTCTGATGTGCCAAGTCCCTAATTTCAGAATAAATACACCTGGTCCCATCCATTACTCTTTGGAATATATATCCATGCAAATTTTCTTTCTGTATATTTATTAAATTTTGGATTTATCTTTTAAATTGTTCATCCATCCAGTCTGAGAAGAACTCAGTTGGGTGGGGTAATTTTCTTTGTGCCCCAATAGTGTCAATTGTATTAAATAAGGGAGCAAATTTTATTGGAATTTAGGAATTACTTAGCCATCCAACAAAAAATGATATCAACTTTCAAACTAGTTTATAAAAATCAAATGCTACTTACAGGTTATATTTGCCATGGGATTAAAAATAAAGAAATTATGTTAAATAAAATAAAATTATCTTAAAGAAAATTTCTAAATTTCATGTGTTCACAGGAAATAGCACTCTATATTTAAAATTAATGTTATTTGAAATTAAAATCTTGAAGAGATTGTATATATGTGCTTTTTATACAATTGATAGAATGTATCTAGGAAAGAGGAAATAGTCTAGCCTTAAGAAATACTTTGCTTTTTAATTAGAATAGAGAAAACTTAGGTTGCCAGTTTTCAGTATTCCATATTAAAGAGAAACAATATTGAATGAATGATTCAAATAAGCACATAGCTTAAAATGTAAGTAAATAAGACACTACTTCCCCTTTGGGTGAATATATTTAATTCATTCAATAATTCCATTTTGATTGACACAATGTAAAATCACTTTTTTTTATCCAAGCATAAAATAGATGGCAAAAAAGGAAAACAGTAAATGAAAGCATTTTAGTATTTAAATTTACCCTTGATAAATCAGACTCAGATAATTAACATTTGGCTCAAATCACAACAATTTCAATTTTAGCACAAAAACTGGCAGAAGGTACACACATAAGTCTAATTTTCATGACTTTATAGTTTAAGTCCTGATGTAAATCACATTTACACACAATCTACAATGAGATTCTGGCTATCTTGTATGCTCAATTTATAAATGATCTCAAGCAAGTTGAATTTTATTTAGATCCTGCCTTTGAATTGTAAAAGACATAACTTCATACCATAAAGCATTAGGAAGTGGGGTTAGCAAAAAATACTACAATGCTCTAAAAATGAATTAGCTATTGTAGTATTGCAAATGCCACAACTCAAGAGAAATGAGTCATCATAAACATGTTTTTGAAGTGCCTCTAATTCTCCAACAGTTCCTGAACTAGCAATTCTACTACTTGCATTTCAAAACACAATTGTAACAGTACAATTTAATTTCCTGCAGGTCTGCTATAGAAAAGGCTTTGTAGCCTCAGAAATGGTTAGCTTAGCCATACAAACAAATAGATTCTTGACCCCCATGAACTTCCACTCTCATAAGTAAAAAGAAAAACCAAACAGCATCCTCTAGATACACATCATTTTGATAAAAATCAATCCCCTGTCATCTTGCAATTTAGCAGTTTTAGAGTCTTATAACCTAAAGATCTAAGAGCTGTTGTAGAGGAAATGTACTATACCTTCACACTGTCTGTTTTTCATGTTTCTCTGAAATCCAGGTTTACAGCGACAGAAAACAGATGTTTTTATTTGATTACAATATGCATCATCTCCACATAGATTCACATTATCTTCACAGGTATATTCAGTTGGAACTAGGATTCAAAAATATGATCAACACTAGTGTAATTCTAATTCTTAAAGTAGGAGTTTACCCTTTTTGTTAATTTGAAATTTTATTCTTTATTCCATTTGGTCTTCTCTTGATAGAAGCCCTCATTTCTTATAAAGGTATAAAAACAGATTAAAAACTGAATTAATTTACATTGAATATGATTTAGACCAAGCTACCAAAAGATGATCTTTACAGCTTTAGCTACACTGCTTTTTAAAAGGAAGTCAAGAGTGAAAAACTCTAATTGTTTCAAATGCATCTCTATTTAAAGGGAGGAACATAGCATGGGTGCCATTTTCCCCTCCCCTCCCACTTACACGTAGGCACCTTGCATTAGAAGTCCCAGTATCCTGCTTCCTGAATGGGAGGGAGGCAAGAAAGGAGGGAGGTAGATATCTAAATTATCTAAATTTGGTGGGGGGCGGGGGGGTGGGGGATGATACAGGGACTGGAGCAGAGACATGTACAGACACTTGGATAAGAGGTTGGAAGAGACATATGAAGAGGTTGTTCCTGGTTCTTGGCAGAGACAATGGCAGCTGTTATCTTGATGTGGTATATATATGTATTTTTTTTTTTTATTTTGAGGGTCTCCCTTCTGTTCTCTGGGATGTTCTTAACCCCTTATTGTGATTCCCTGCCAGACCTTATCTTAGACTTGTGGCAAGCTTTTGGGCCAACCCTATTTGGCTGGGAGTTTGCCCACAGGGAATGGGTAATTTGGGGAGTTTTACTGGAAAACAATTATCTGTAATTCTTTCTTTTCTCTCTTTCTGCACACCAAGTCTACTAAAAAAGTTCACACTAAGACTTCCTTTGCCTTTTTGCATGTGGATGGTAGGACCCTCCTAAAAGCAAGTAACCCTTAACAGTTTGGGTTTCCTTTTTACCCATAAACCTACACTAAAATAAGGACAGACTATCTTTACAGAGGTATGATGTATGACTACTAAGTCCTTCTCACAGAACCAACATATTTCCTAGAAGCTACCCAGAGATATGCACATTTTTTGCTAATGTAGCACATTATTATCATCATTTTTTAAAGATTTATTTATTTTTATACAAGAACCGGGGTACAGGTCAGATGCATGGGAGGGTGAGAGGATTCACTGGAGACAGAGCAGGGAACAAAACAGGCAGACTGAAGAAATACACTGCTGAGGGGAGCAGCGGGTGCAATAGGAGAGGTCTGCCGTGCCATGTGGGAATCTTCCTGGCTGGCCAGGATTGAACCTGCTCTGCAGAGGCTGAGGACAACTTCACAGCGTGGCACTCAACTGCCTGCACCACCAGGGAGGCCCATAGCACATTATTAAACTTTGTATTCAGGAATTCAAAGAGTACTGTCCCCTTACTTAGCAATTCATCTAAATCAGTAGTATCTAAATTTTTTCAATCTGAATACATATACAAGGGATAGCCTTTGAGTATGTAATATGCTCCAATCATCATGGGCTGCAATACAAGTTAGCATAAATGATGTGTTATTTGTAGTTCCCAGTAAATAGTTGTGACCTCACTGCTTTATTTCCCATTCAGGGAAACATCTTAGAATACATATAAATGAGAGGGCATTGTTAGAGGGATAACCTTGAATTAACTCTACTTAAGTAAATTTAACAAGAAATATAAGAACTTTAGTTATCAGGATTGTAACCATTATTAATCTTCACTAAGTCTTTAATATTTTTCAATTATTTAGAATGTCCCAGTACCAGTGGAATTATACAATTGATATGATATATGTAGTGAAATCCTGGTAGGTATTACTCCTTTACTCAGTGGGAAACAACTTAGATTCATTAAAAAACAAACAAAAACAAATGGAAATTATTTTGTGATTTTTATAACGAATCTGAATTTAGAGTCATTAACTTTATTATTTTTCTAAATATGGAAAATCAGATATCAAACACTAAACACAGAATTAGCAATCAAGACCTAATGACTTAACTGAATGCTCTAACCAAATAATGATGGCTTCTTTAAGAATTTGGCAAATGATTAAAACTTTTAACCTTTGACTATAGTATTTAGACCTTTCTACCAACTGTTATGTTTTTAAAACTCAAAAATACTATAGTTTATAAAATAAAATATAAGAAATACAGATTTCTTGCTGACATCAAAATTTTTATTCCCATATTAACTTGTCAGCTTCACTTCTAGCAAGGGGACTCATTGCAAAATTAACATTTCTCACATTTTGCAAGTGATATTCTAAGGTTACTTTGGCAAAGGTTTAAAAACACATTACTTAAGCATGTCTGAAGAGTAATCTTTTCTCATAATAAAGAAAATTTTAGTCATATTGAAACAGAAATTAGAACTGCATAACACTGCACTTTGTTTAACAGAAAACAAACTCACTTATTCTGCAGCTTTGTTCATCTGAACCATCTCCACAGTCATCAAGTCGATCACACTGAAGATCCATGGGGATGCACTTCTTATTGCTACAAGCAAACTCATCTTTTTTACAGGGTCTTGCCTTGGATGTCAGCTTACCTACAGAGTCATTAAAAAAATGATCAGTGCTTCACAGAAAAAAACACAAAGGTTTTTGTTTTATTTTTTTTAGTTAATTGAGCACAAAACACGTTCAATATTTTACTAAATACTATTGAGGGTGCCCAAAAGAGTCCCCCTCACCCCAACACCCCTCACCCAAGATCTTCAGAACTGGTCTTCTCAAGATGCCTTCCCTGGCAGGAGAGTATTTTGAGTAAGAGAAATGAAATTCCCTGAGGCTAAGGAGAAGCTTCTTTTTTTGTCTAAGTCTTTCACCCCTCCCTCATGAGAAAGATCATGAAGTCCTAAGCACCCCTCTGTTGTCCTTTTTTTTTTTTTTTTAATCAGTGAAGCTATTACTGCTTCCCCTGTTATGACCTAGAAGAATGAAGTTGGGGACAGTGAGTCTCATTCAGTTGCAGGTTTAACAGTAAAAATATCTAAGAATCTTATCTTTACCATTAGAGTATGAGGCAACCCCTTATTATTTAACATGTAAAGTCTCTTCATCTCTCTTTGATGTGCCAAGTTCCTAAGCAGAGGATAAATGAGTTTGCTCCATAATTATTCATAAGTTATAACCAAATAAATTCTCCTTGCATATGTTGTTAAATTGATTGTTTTTCCTTTGTCAGCCTGTCTTATGCTATTTAGATTACTGCAAACCCAGAAAGTAAGGGGCGGTTTCTCTTTTGCTCCCTGAAAGTGAGAAAACCATGGGCTCACAATCTTACACTTGGAGTTCTTGGGGGAGAAATGAAAACATTTTGAATATTTAGAATTTTTTCAAAAATAACATTGTCTTTATTTGCAGAGAATTGAACAGGAGTTTACTGTCTGAAACTTTAATGTTGTCTTTTTTTTTCCCCTCAATTACTTTACCTCTACTTGTGGAGAAGGAAATCATATGCTATATAAAAACCTTCAAAGAAAGATATTTGTATAAGTAAACTGTAGCAAAACATAGTAAGACTGAGCAGAGTTTTGAGTAAAATCATAATGAAAACTGATTCTATTGAGGGATGCATGTAATTGGGTACAATTCAAATGAAATCATTTACTTGCATGCATCCAAAATAATAAAAGAAGAGTCTGTGAAAATATGATTTAGGTGAAAAAAACCCTAGTAATATGTATGTGCTATGGCAAAGTATTATTTCAACAGGATTTATGATTTTTCAATACCACAAAAAATAAAGGAGGGGGGCAACAATTCTCATTCTCTGAGTGGTAGAAAAAATAGTAAATGAGGGACCAGGAAAAAGACTAATACAAAGTAAAAATCTAAATCAACAAGCAACTATAAACCAGAGACACACTGGGGAGGGGGATGGGGAGTGGTAGGATTAGGGTCAAAATAAGGGGGGTGCAATTGTATGGGGAATATAACCAAAATGAAAATGCAACATTGTGCAAAAATGAAAAATGATGTAAGAATTATATAAAATATTAAAAAATAGTAAATGAGTAATCTCCCACCACCTCTGCCTATCTCCACCCCATTTGAGCCTTTAGCAGTTATAATGATGTAAAAGTGTGAAGTGGGGACAGGAGGCAGCAATAGCTGAAGTAGCCCGTGTCAAGCCTCTGAAAAGAATAGAAATCAGCTCCTTGTTGTGGTTTCAGAATCGGTCTTTCATTGCTTAAATAGTCTCACTCTAGTCCTATGCATGCTCTCCCTCTGGTGCCTGGAGGAATCTCCCAGGCAGCATGGTGTGCCAGCTTAAGTCTGCTAATTATGTTTGCAGGGACTGGGGGGGACAACAAAATGGGCATACAAATCAATGTGGGATGAAAACAAAGGCAGGAAATAGCATCTCCACATCTGCAAGAAAGAGGTCAGGGCACACTTGGGCTATGTTTCTATAGTGGTTCAACACCCATTTCACTATAAGGGGGCATGTGATTCAAATATTATGTCAGTCATCAGTGTAAAAAAAATAATAACAATATAAAACACAACAAAACAAAAAAAGACAATTATAAACCAGAGACATCCTGCAGGGGAGAAGGAGCACAGGGGACTGTGACAATATTGCACGGGTACATTGGCGAAGGAAATTCTATGGGCACTACGCCTGGGGTGGGGGGAAAGCAAATATTGTTTAAAAATGAACAATGATGTAAAAAATTTAAAAACCATATTATGTCAGTTCATATGTTTCCCACTTGCCACTCCAAAAACACATTTTTAAAGTTTTACATATTGATTCATTTGCAAGTTGTAATAAAATTATGATAAACTACCATATATTTAATTTCTAATATCTGTCATTTGAACTGCAATTATGTAAGACATAACATTGTATTTACCCTATAGAAATTAATGCCCTATTTCCACAGGAAGATGTTTGAGTCTTTACCCTTGGTAGGATTTTTTCTTTAAGTAATACACTGTCTCAGACAAGTTGCAGTCAGGATTTGTTACCAATTGATTTTACTGCATACTTGAGTAAAGCTTTAGGTTTTAAGATTTCTATTTTTTAATTTCAGAGTTATGGAAAAGGGTTTGTATATACAAACACACAATCTATATAAGCCTTCTCCTCTCAAGCAACTATTCAAAAGAGAAAACATTAAACCACTATGTTGTTTCTCTTAAGCATTGTTGTCTCTCTATGATCAACAGAGATTTACAAACTAATATAGACGCTGGATAAAGTTGCATGGCTCAACTATGAGATGAAATGTTAATAGATTATTTTCATATCTTGATAGCAGATCGAGTGCCTGATAAAGATACTTTCAAACATGTCAAACATGCCACATGGAAGACATTATCTTAATTCCTTGAGTCCTGAAAGTATTGCATGTTGCAATTGTCACTAAATCAGTAATTTCACATTAAAAGGATTTACCACCACAATGATCTTCATCTGAGTTGTCTCCACAGTCATCAACCCCATTGCACATTTTCTCATACTGTAAGCATATTCTGTTGTTTCTGCATCTGTGAGGTCTTGTGGGTGGACAAAGAAATTTGACTGAAAAAAAAAAAGAAGCTCCTTTGGGTACATGGATTAATGAAGAAACAACATTTTGTCTTCTTTTTCTTTCACTGCAAATCTATAGTGTAGGTTATTGGAATATTTTTTGTTTGTAAAGTTAGAAAGTAGGTCTTATTTAGATACTACATACTATATCTGCATTTAAATACTACAATAATGTGTGACAATAGAAATGTATGATCCTATTTATTTCTATTAATGATAGAAAAGTGGGCAGAGCTGAAATGTTGCATGGAGTAAGTAAAAGAATCAAACTCCATGGTCTCATTTCTAGATGTCTTATCTTAGCTGTCTTCACTTGGTATACCAAATTAATTTATACCTATGGTTTATACAATACACTATGACATTTAGCGATCTAAAAGAGCAATTACACACAGACTAGAGCTTGAACAAGCATATATAATAATTTAAAATAAGCATTCAATGGAAAAAAAAATCCCAGAAATATTATAGCTGTTTTTCTTACTCTGTACACAAGTACACATGCATTTGAGGCATAAGGTTATCTTGGTTACTAATTTTCAGTTTGCATAAGAGTGTATGTATTGTACGTGTGCACATGAATGTGTCTTTGAATGCACATGCCTGTGTGCGTGTGTGTGTGTGTGTTGGGAAGGGTGGAAACGACAACAAAACAACAAAAGTCAGGGAATTATATACTTGTCTTTTACTGCTTCTCTTCTGAAGAATTCCTCCCCTAGAGTAGGGAACAACTCTAATAACTGCATCTTTACATGTTGAAATACTCTGGGTCTCTGTTTGGGTCCCCTGATGTCCTCACTCTTTTTTTTTTCTTTTTTAAAAAGACTTATTTATACATACAAGAACTGGGGTGTAGACTAGAGGTGCGGAGGAGGGGGTGGCATGAGAGTGAGAGGATTTACAAGAGACAGAGTGGGGGGCAGAACAGGCAGATCTACTGAAATATACTGCTGAGAGGAGCAGCTGGAGAGGCAGGAGAGGTCTGCTGCACCAAGTGGGTAGCTCCCTGGATGGTGGGGATGAAACTGGTGCTGCAGTGGCAGGCAATAGCTTGATAGTGCTGTCTTTAAGCCCTGTGCCACCAGGAAGGCCCTTTTCTCACTCCTAAATTGCCTACGTAGACATCCCCGTCAACTCTCATGGATTTACCTGATATTATAACCTGAAGATTTTATATTTGCTATTTAATTCTAGCATCTCACAATTAATTATAGAACATCTCAGAATGTAAGAATGAATTTCAAAAAGTTCAAAGCACAATTCTTTATCATTTTCTCTTGACCCTTTTCTTCCCAAACTTAAGCTTTGTCCTCTTCCCTAGGTCAGTTAGTGGCACATCATAGTTCTATATCTAGACTTATTCTAAATAGATTCCTCTCATTGATCTTCAGCTCCTATTAGCCAACAAGTTCACTTAATATTGTCCCCCTAACTTGCCCTCCTCTCTCCATGCTGTCCTCTCCAGCTAAAATCACAGTAGCTCAGTTCATTATTTATTACTGAAATGACTGCAAGAGAATCCTAAATTTCTCAGATTCATTGTCCAACCTACGATCCACCAAAAGCCACAACAGTACACCTAACACATTAATTTTATCATCTCTTTCATAATTATCTATCACTTTCAGTATAAAATTTAAGGGATGTTATGTGCATAGTAGATTTATCAGTACCTTGCTGATTGCACTCCTACAGCTTCATCCTTTATCAATCTTAATATTTTAGCAATACCACTTTATTACAGGTGTTAAATATTTTATACTCCTTCTTGCCTGACCTCCTTGTTTTAATTAATATGGTACTTATGCCAAGCATAGTTTCTCCCTTTAGGTCTTTTAGGGAGTGTCTCTTTAATTGCTCAAACCTCATGTTATAAGACACTCTAATTTCTCACTTTAGTTTTCGGAAGTATGTTGTCATATCTTTGCATTCTATTTTAAATTCAATTAATGAAACAACAATTGTTGAGGGGCAGACATTTGATTCTACCTCCTTCTTATTGCTATTTTCTCATCAAACTCATAGACAATACTCTGTTCA